TTTTTTATAATATACTGGTCATATATTAATTTCACAATACAGTATAATATTAATTTAGCATAAATTAAAAATATTTTCAGTATTATAAAAATTATGTAAAAATACAAAACTATACTTATAGTACCGTACTTTAGAATCTATGACATTCTATGTTATAGATTCTATGATATGAAATTTTCATAGTGAAAATATTTTATTCTTTTACGGTAATTATATTATAATATATTTCGAATAACTCTACATTTTAATATTTAATAATTTTTAAAATTTCTAAAGCTCATAAAATTATTTTAAAATTACTTTTCACCGGTTCACCCGTTGTATTTTGCTAGTTGTCCACTTTTCAAATTAAATTACAACCATAAAACATATTATTTACAAGAAAACCACATTACAGTATAAGTAATACTTCCATTATTGTTATATTAAATTTTTATAAAATGAATGACAGATTGTAATCGTTGGCAATGGAGTGGTCGGCAAGAGTTCAATGATTCAGAGATTCTGCAGAGGAATCTTCACTAATGAATACAAGAAAACACTTGGAGTAGACTTTATGGAGAGAATGATCCGGTAGTTTATAATACATCTAAATTTACTTTAATATGAGATAAAAATATAATTTGAATGAATGTTTAGTGTGAAATCAGAAAATATAAGATTAATGCTCTGGGACACAGCAGGTATGATGATTTGAATGTTAAACAAATTGGTATCAATTATGTGGTCTGATGTGAGAAATGTTTTTAATTGCAATGCAATGACAGGACAGGAAGAATTCGATGCAATTACTAAAGCATATTACAGAGGTTTGCATTCTTTCATTCATATAATTCATAATTTCTTAATTCTTGTCTTCAATTGTTTAATATATTGTACTCTATTTTTATCAAATATAGTTTATATTCATTCAAATTACATTCAAACTCATATTAAATGTATTTCAGGAGCCAATGCATGTGTTATAGTATTCTCGACAACAGATCGTCAATCGTTTTTAAGTATTGAAAAGTGGAAAAAGAAAGTCGAGTTCGAGTGCGGGGACATCCCTATGGCCATCGTAAATATAATTTGAATGAATGTTTAGTGTGAAATCAGAAAATATAAGATTAATGCTCTGGGACACAGCAGGTATGATGATTTGAATGTTAAACAAATTGGTATCAATTATGTGGTCTGATGTGAGAAATCTTTTTAATTGCAATGCAATGACAGGACAGGAAGAATTCGATGCAATTACTAAAGCATATTACAGAGGTTTGCATTGTTTAATATATTGAATATATTGTACTGTATTTTTATAAAATATCATTTATATTCATTCAAATTACATTCAAACTCATATTCTTACATAAAGTCCTCGGTTACGTACACAATATCATAAGAGCTGTTGTCTAGCAGTTAGCAAAAATTCATAACTTTTCACCTTTTTCTTTCAGCTCAAGCTCACGCCCCTGTAGGGATACCGGTAGCATCACAATAAGATTGATTTGTCTCATCAGAGTGTTGTCAGACGTGAAGAAGTGGATAGTCTGGTGAAGAGACATCACTGGAAACTATTCAGAACATCAGTTAAAGACAACATTAATGTAGAAAACGGTAAATGATTATATTGTTTGTAAAAAATCAAATGAATTTTCAAGATATTTGTGGCGAAACACTATATGATTGTAATACTGATGTGTATAGTCTTCCACTTCCTCGCCGAGTCGTACATCACTTCCATTAGCGATGACTACAATGAAGAACCAGTTCTGCACTCTTCGAGCCAACCCTTCTTTGCTAATAACATGTCAAACATAATGCCTTCAAATACAGGCCACACATCATTTGCAGCATTAAGTAACTAAACTTCACTGCATTTCCATTATATGTTCACAATTTGCTTTCAAATCAAATGAATCGCTAATAAAATTGTTTTGCAATAATAGATCCACTCTATCATCAAAGGATGGGACCATTTGTACCGCAATACAGACAGAACAGTCAAAGCTATCAATTGGGCTATAATTACGTGAACACCAGAGGAATGGGTTTGCAGTCGTCGTATGGAAGTAATGCAATCCTAAGTCACTATCGATGTAAAGGCAAATACAATGCATTACCGCATCGGTCGCAGAGTTCTGGCATAAGGTTACACCACAACAGACCTCAACCACAATCACAATACGAACAACTCTTAGCCAAACACTCACTCCATAATAGCTATCACTACTCCAATGGTT